ATTTATTGGTACGTATTTGTTAGTTCAGTGATTATTTGTTTGCTTATTCGTGACGGGAGTTACTTCTTTTTTTTTTTTTTTTTTATCTCACAGGGCCCGATTCCCCAAAGGGCAGGGTGGGCCCGAAAAAAAAAAACTTTAAACCATCATTCACTCCATCACTGTCTTGCCAGAAGGGTGCTTTAAATAAATTTTTTTAAAACTGCAACTTTAAAACACCCCTCCTTCGAGTGCAGGGTGTCCTTCCCCTCTCCAGGGTCAAGTCAGGCCCCCGGGCCCGGGTTTCCCCGAACCCCTTCATTTAAAAGTTTTCTTTGCTCACACTCCAAAAAGACGGCAAATATTAAAAACCATTCGTCTCCATTCATCCCATCAAAAAACCCCCAAAGCAAGCCCGCGGAAGTCCCAAACCCCCCGCACAAAAAACCCCTTTACCTCCTCCCCCCAAAACCCTTTTCCCAGGCCCACCCCCACCCCCCCTTCCTTCCCCTACCAAGGGGCTGGGTAAACTTTGATGTTTTATTTGTTTGCTCCCCCTTTTCTCTACTGTCCGAACACCCCAAAACCCTTCCTCAGGGCCCCCTTTGGGCAACAGTTTTGGTAATCCCCCACCTCCCCTGTTCCAAAAATACGAAATTTTCGAAATTTTTTTACACCCACTCATTTCCCTCAGACAAGAATTTTTCCGCTCCAGCCTTCTCCTGCTGCAACTTTATCACCCCTGCTTCACAAAAAATATAAGATGTTGGTAAAAAAAAAAACTTTTCCCTACATTCCCCTTTTTCCCCAAGGACCAAAATTTTTTGTCTCCCCAGCCCTAAGTGCACCACTCACCCTTTTCCCCCCTCAAATTTTATGATTCACCTCATCCTTTATAGAACCCCCCCAAATGACAAAGTTTACTCCCAAATATCTGGGAATTTCATTCACCTCCCCCATAATCCCCCCCTCCAAAATTTTATATCCAAAAAATTTATTTTATAAAATTTCCCATTTTTTTAAAATTTTCAACTTGCAAGGGTTCTTTTGGGAAAGTAACCTTTACTAAGCGAGGGAGCACCCACTTGCTAAAAATTTTAAAATCATTTTTAGACCTTGTTTCAGGGGGGTGCAAAATTAAAATCAGGGTTGCTGGGGCAAAAATAACTAGTTTAAATGCAATTTTAAAGAGAAGTACTCACTCTAAAAGGGCATAATTTTCCCCCCTGGAAATTGGGCCCAAAGTTCAAAAAAACCGTAGCCCAAAGTTTTGCCAAAGCTAAAGGGCACGGGGGGTAACCCCTAAAAAAAAAACATGATTTTTAATTTGTCCTTTTAAATTTTCAAGAATTTTTTTATACCAGAGAGGGCAAAAGATTAAAAAAGGAGAGAGAGAGAGAGGGGGAGAGGGGGAAGAGGGGGAGGGGAGAAAAGAGGGGGAGAGAGTGAGAGAGAGGAGAGGGGGGGAGGGGGGGGTTGGGTTTGAGGGGGACTTGACATCGGAGCTTGTTTTTAGGGTGGGATTGAAAAAAAGGGTTGGTCAAAAGGGTTTTTTTAATGGGATGAATTTTTAAAGGACCTGCCCAGTATGGGCCCAAATGCCCGCTGCCGTGTTCCTCCTTTCTTATGTTTTTATTTGGGAGGAGAGAGAGGAAAAGGGGAGAGAGAGAGAGAAAAAGGAAAGAGAGAGGGAAAAGGGGAAAAGAGAGAGAGAGAAAAGAGGGAGAAAAGAGAGAGAGAAAAGGAAAAGAGAGAAAGAGGAAAAAGAGAAAAAGGGGAAAAGAGGAAAGGGAGGAAAGGAGAGAGGAAAGAGGGGAGGAGAAAGAGAGAGAAGAAAGAGGAAAAAAAACCCAAAAAAAAAAAAAAGAGAGAAAGAGAAGAGAAAAAGGAGAAAGAAGGAAAAAAGGGAAAAAGAAAAGGGGAAAAAAGAGAAAGAGGGAGAGAAAGAGAGAAAGAGGGGGAAAAGAAAGAGAGAAAGAGAGAGAAAAAAAAAAGGGAGAGAGAAGGAAGGAGAGAGAAAAGAGAGAGAGAGAGAGAGAGAGAGAGGGAGAAAAAAGAGAGAGAAAGAAAAGGGAAATGTGTTTAAAACTGTCAGGGGGGTTTACAATAAGGCAGGAGGAGGTGAAATTTTCCCTTTTTAAATTTTCCCTTTACAAAAAAAAGGGTGTGGGCCCAGAAAGTTTAGCCCCCGATTGTTTAGAAGATGTTTCAGCCAGTAGCAAACACCTCTAACTCGCATCTTTTAGGGATGCCCAGTACCCGTGCAAAAGGGCCCCTCTCCATGGAAAGAGGCAAATGTAGTCCCTGTTCACAAAAAGAAGAGCAGAGCAGAAATCAGAAAACTACAGACCAGTGTCACTCCTGTCAATCACTGGTAAGATCCTTGAGACAATAATCTCAAGACAAATGACAGATTTTTTTGATACCACTCACTATTTTGGGTGATCGTCAATATGGCTTCGGGGAAAGGGTTTTACTCTGCTGCTGATCTGTTGTTAAACCTCTCCACTAAGTGGCACCA